TGATAGACTAGGGACATCACCCACCCATTGTACTGGCATCAAGAACAATGCATAGGCTATCCATTGCCATGGGATGAAGATTTAATGCTCATCTAATAGAAAAACATTATGTGGGTGTGAAATCTATATCCTTTTAGGAATTGCATGCCATATTTGGCATTGAAAATGCTCAACCTCTGTATTTTCCAGGTAATTCCTTGTTTGCACAGTCTCATGCTTCTTGTTGGGCACCACAAGACTGCCAAAACAGAATATAGATAGGTAAGATAGATAAAAAATGATGACATCTGTATTTTCCAGGTTGTACATTTAAGTTTTTTGTCAGAAAGAGAAATAATAAGTAATGTGTAACAGCAGCAATGTTGAAGAATGGTTGTCTCCAACTCAAGAATCCCTCTATTGATAGTGCCTTATAAAATTTCTAACGAGTTGTGGACATATCAGCATAAACACCACATGAAACGTTGTGTCCAGCTTCTTGAAATTGGGCTAAATCCTGAATCACTGGGATTTATAGGCTTGATCCTTGCCTAAATGATACCATAGTATCCAGAGCTCCATCACGTGGCAGGCACTCAACTCAAGCAGAAAAGCTGTCTAGTGTATATTGCACGACAAATCCATACTATATCACCTAGTATAAAAGAAAGCTCCAGTCTAGAATTTGGATAGGGGAGCTCTCCAACACAAACGTGGCAGGCCAGGCAGTTCGCCGCCATCTCCACAGTGCATCAGCCTGACATTCACCAAAGCCATGCAATTGAACCCTTCTTGATTCGCCTCCCTGGCACCTTCTTTCGAGGAATGCAATTGAACTTGATTCCCCTCCGTGGCACCTTCTTTCAAGCCTAGATCGCGGGGTTTGGGTCAGATTTCGACTGGAGATGGCGACTCCTCGTCAATGGCCGAATGAATGCGTCGGCATTCTCGTCAAAATGTAGGCTCAATCTTATGCTTTTCACAAAAAGATTTGAAACATAATTTCATCCATTCATAGCATGAGACCTAAGTATATTGTTTAAATTAATCCTTTGAAAATTGCATATGCTATAATAAATGCAGAGAGCCTCTCATAATTCCCTCTGAATATTTTGCCCATTTTAAACCATAAATTTCTGTGTTCCTGATCATAATATATACCACCTGCTGCAATTGCCTTGACGATAGCATTGCGTATTTCATCAGCGCTGGCTCCCAGGGCCCTCTGTATTTTGGGAGACTCTATCAACTTCTCAAGAGCTAGACATCTCTTCCTAGTCCCATCTGATGCAACAAAAATCCCACTCTTGTTCCGATCTGTAGCATTATTTGGGTGACTATTTAGAGTGTGACCTACAAAAAACAGCTTTAGTAAATACTTCCACCAAGCAAAGATAATTCACTCACACTCTTCTGTCCACGTTTTGCAGTCAATGTCTAGAGCCAAGTGATCCTCAAATATTACCTGCGCAAAACAACACAAAGAAAACAGAATTTTTTTTTTGAGAAACACATTCCAACGGAAAAAACACTGTGCGTACGTGAACAATGTAGACGATCATGGCACCGAACGGCACTTTGTTTCTCAGTTGTTTAGGGCCGCCGTCAAAGTAATGCTCCGGAACTCTGGACTGGAATTTGAAGATTAAAATCAGCCCTCTCCATGCCAGCTCCCTTATTTCTCCCAGCTCGGATTGCGAGCAAGGGACCCCATCCGGCTCCCACTGCGCGTTCCTGCATAGCTGCACGAAATGGCCGCTAAGATCCTTGCCGAAAACGGCAGCGGCGGCACGGTAGAGCTGGCGCTCGTCGCTGCTTCCCACTGGCACCGACTGTGCGTGCTCCACGATCGACTTGCCCGTCGAGCACAGCGTCTGGAGCTCGGCATGGTCCCGCTGCCCCTTCTTCGTCAGTGTCCAAGTGTAGATCAGACGGCCAATTTGCAAGCTTGCATCCGTAAAGTCCATAACGTATGGAATTTCGCGAGGCCTGTGCTGGTAAACGAGCGACCTCCTATGCACCCAACGCTCCAGAGGTAAAAGAAGGCTTTTGTCCCACTCGAATTTGTGCGTCACTTCTGCGTCCACCTCCTGCCAAAATAAATTAATAATTAAAAAAAAAAGGAATAAGAAGCCTTAAGAGTCTCATCTGTGTTTTGCAAGTCGAGCTAAGGATTTTACCTCTAACACCTGACGGACGCCGGGGGTGAGGTCGATCGACTGCCACTCTACCATCGGCAGTTCCTTGATGCAAACATTAAAGACCCTGTCGATGTTCTCCCTGGGTAGCAGATAGAAACCCTTAAATCTGCATGCGTGCACCGTGTCTAGGAAGAAGAGCAAGACGTTGCCCAGGTGCCCCCCGCCGCCAGCTTTGGCTTGAGCTAGGAAAGCGTCGAGCCATTCGAGCGGCTGCTTGTTTACCTGGACCTGGAGCTGCAGCCACGCGAAGAAGAGCACGCAGAGTTGCTCGCTCACATCAAACAGGCGCATGGCATCCAGAAGACATGTTCGCGTCGAGAAAGTACAGGGAACTCTAGACATGAGCGACACAAGATCTGCACAGGCGACTGGTTATAAAGTGAAAAGGAAAAAAGGGAAGCCATACGTGTAATTCCTTCCTCTGAAGACATCGCGTCGGTGGCTGGCGTCTGAATGTCTCTCTCCTTGAGCTGCGACCATAGAAAAAAGCTCTTTTACCGCTTTCCCACAAGAAATCTCGAGAACTCACCTCTTCAAGCTTGAGTACAGCGTAGTGGCAAGGGAGCACGAAGGACAGCAGTTTCCGGTCACCATAACGTTGCTGGTTGGAGCGACCTCGCTGGCGCATGAAATAGTCCACAGCGATGAAGAGGTGCAAGAAATTCTCCGGGATGGGAACCCGGAGGACGTGGGCGATTGCCATAGTCCAAATCTTCCACTTGAGCTCCGACACACTCGACCCATCTACATCGTAGAACCACGACGCCCCTGCTGAAGAATCCAGCTCCAGCCCAAAGCGCTCGAATGCCCCTGCCACCACTCTCAGCAATCGGGTACCTATGCTGCTCTGGAACCAATCGGACACGATCAGACCGACGCGCGGATCCCACCCCACCGCCGGAGTCATTTGCTCTGGCTGAGTCCATCCCACATCCATTAGCCCAATAGGTGGTACTCTTCATTCAAAGGTCTATTTATTGTATTCTTCACAAAGAATATTAAAGGAATATTTTACTAGCAGGAATATTCTGGAAGGATCTTTTTTGCTGTGGCTGGCCAGTGGGCGCGCGGCACGGCCCTGGGCTGAAGGAGCGACACCTGTTTGTTTTCTCCCCAAACTCTGTCTTTGACCGCAGCCGCGAAGCTTCAAAGCTTTTGGATTTACCCCAGCTCCTCCTCTGCTCCTCTGCGGTGGCTTCAGGATTGGATTTGCGGTGGTGGTGGCCGTGGCATGGGTTTAGATTGCCTGCACTTAAGCAAGACTTAGAGTAGGGAGCACAATTGCACCCACAACCTTGAAGCAATTGCGCTCTCTGCCGTCTTCTTGTGTATTATACTTCTATACATATTGAGGGAGGTATTCACACCCTTGTGTCGATCATCGTCCCCAATCAAGCTGGCCCTGCGTTCCCTCCACACGGCCATAGCCAAGCCCTAAAATTCAAATCTTCACAAGGACGTACACCTATCCTAACCCTAAAAAAGAGTGGCCACCCTGTGGATTTGATAGCCACAAATGCAATATGCACTAGTAGTCCTTGCTCTTTGGCTTGGTTTTGTCAGGAAGATGCCGTGTGAAGCAAGTGTATGTCAATATTAGAACCTAATGAAGAATTACTGTGTTGACGCAAAGCAAATCACCACCCAGCCACCACGCCATTGTTTACAGCTGTCAGCACGTTCCACTTCCACCAGGTCCAAAAGCATGTTCCAAAGCCTTTGATTACTTGTGAATTAATCTCTGTAAAATAAATTGACTAAATTTAACTTAGTCATATTTTAATTAAGATTAATGCCAAGATTATAACAATCCTCCCCTCAACCTCAACTGAAGTCCTTGTCCAGAAGGACTGCCTAGTGATCAATTACTTCTTGGGGCTCTAGTTCTATTCTCAGTTTGAAACATCCAAAAAAAATCTACTCAAGATTCATTCCTCATCAAAACACTTTTTAACTGGTTGACATAAAAAACTGGGTGTACTTTTGCAACTTCACTTGTTAAGCCACTTTACCAATACGTTCCAAAGCTTTATAAAGAGGAGATAGCTTATTATTTCTCTAATCTCTTAAGGATATAATGGTTGTACAACTTTATAATACTGGAAATATCACTTGCACATAAATGAGTCACTAACCTTGAAAGTTTGATGCTCATTAGTATACCTTTTAGCTTGGTCTTGATTTATTTATAAATTCCTCTGGCATACATTTAAAATTTCATCCAAATCTATGGATAAACCCTTTTCCTCACCATCCATCTTAAATCCTTGAGAGCTAAGTAAACTAAGCTCAAAAGCTGTCCTTAGATGACGACCATGCATTGTAAAGTAAGGTGTCATCTTGGTGCCATTACTTTGGCTATTTTTATAAGCAAACTCTACAAGAAATAAAAATTTATCCCACAGCCAGTATAAGCAAACTCCACAAAAAATGAAAATTTATCCCACTATTCTTGTTGCCTATGAATAGTGCATTTAAGTATGTCTTCAACCACATAGTTGACTCACTTTTTGTCTATTTATCTAAGGATGATCCCTACTACTTAGTTTGATGCCAATCTTTATGAGTTTTGTAAAGCTTCTCCAAAATTCATTTGTGAATTTTGAGTTTCTATCACTCACAATCTCCACTAGCAAACTAAACTAAAGAAAAACACACTCAAGGTATACCACAACTAAGTCTATACTCTTCATTACCTTCTTTAGAGGAATCAATTTTACAAACTTGGTCAAGAGATCCATAATGACTCAAGCTTGTTCATTTTGTTTAGCAAATGTGTGATAAAATCCATGGATATACTCATCCATCTATCATTTGGGATAGACAATGGCACCAAAAGCCCTGCTGACTTTTCCCTTGGCCCCTTCACTTGCTGACAATTTCACA